TGCAACGTCTATATAACGCTGAACGTTGTCTCGATGATTTTATAGTGGTTTACCCCTCGTATATACCTACCTATTATATAATATGTGTATCTATTAAACTTATCCAGCGTTACAAAACAAATTCTCTATCCTCTATCTATAAAATAGTATATTATAGACCAGGCGGAGAAAGCTCATATTATAGCAGAGCACACATTTCACTGCCGAGGCGCGCCGCCGAGGCAGTAGATTGTGTGCGAGGTTAATTAATAAGCTTTCGCCGCCGTGTTTTGTATACTATTTCTTTTCAAGCTCTAAATTTCGATATTTTTTTGAAATTTTGTAACCTCATTTTTAGGTTAGGTTTAACTGTCAGACAGGGTTGGGTATCTACCTACATTTTTGTTTTCGACATGTAGAAACCCTTTTTCGACGTTTTCGACGGTAGAAAACGTAAAAAAGTAGAATACTGACAAATATCAAAAAATGTGAGGTTATGCAAGTTTGTTTATTATGATTTGTTAAATGTTGTGAAAAATCAGACACCTACCATAAATTTGAAGTTATTTGGAGTTTTTTAACATTATTATGGTGGGAAAAAAAGGGCCACGTTTGGTTGGGAGACCCCAACATAATTTTTGGCATGAGGGCAAATTTTTATCAATTATAGAGAAGTGGAAGGAGAAGGTCGAATAAGGTAATTTACGTAGGTAGAAAATCCTATAGGTTTTCGACGCAAGTCGAAAACAAGTTTTCTACCCTTTTCTACCAAGGTAAATTACCTCAGGTTTTCTACTGACCCAACCCTGCTGTCAGACGACAAAATGTCACCATTATTGTTCGGCGGTCAATAATAATTTGACTTTTGAACTAGTAGTCACTACATTATTGTACTAGTTCAAAAGTCAAATTATTATTGACCGCCGAACAATAATGGTGACATTTTGTCGTCTGACAGTTAAACCTAACCTAAAAATGAGGTTACAAAATTTTAAAAAACTACATTGAAGTATTTCTATATATACTTATGAGGAATATAATATGAATATTATTATACACTTGGAAAAAAATATGTTTTTCTACTCCTATTACGGAATTTGACCCTTCTAATATCACTTTTATCTATGGAATGACATATATTCCGTAAAGTGTTACAGAATGAAATATTCTATTATCTGATGATAGAATGAACACTCGTGGCGACATCTCTGCTTTTAATATTTAACAAATTTTAGACCGATCCAACCTCACTTTCTTCCAATTAAATTATTTTTCTATGGTATTTTTTGGAAACGTAGAAAAAGTATAGTCTGAAACACGTTTGGAATTGCATATTCCGCTCTCGTGAAACCGTCAAACTCGCATTCGGCTCGTGTGACAAACTCTTCACTCGAGCGGAATATGCTGTAATCCAAACTTGTTACAGATTGTATTTTAAAATAAATAATTAAAGCCAATAATGTTTTAATATAAAATTACGGAAATATAAAATAATGACCCTAATGGTTCCACTACAATTCCACCGGTATAAAAATCTCTCGAAAAATATTTAAACAAGGTTAGAATGAGCATTTGTGTGTTTTTAATTTAATCTAATTTAACCGTAAAACAAGATAAATGAAAAATCTAAAAAAATATTACTTAAACATTTTTTGCTTACGGACGCTACATAAAAGTTTAATTAAAAAAAATAGATTCTTGACATATCTAAAAAAGCTTAATATACTGACAAGAGGCAAAATGTGTGTTTTTAAAAATAAATAATTTAGTCAAAAATTATTTATCTTCATTTAGAAATATTAAGTATTACATCTTTTTGATGACGGACGCTATACTAACAACATAAAATAAATAAAGTTAATAAATAAATAGGTACTACTTCCCCATTTTGACTTACAAAATCGTCACCAAACACTCTGATAAATAATATTTTAATAAAATAAAATAATACAGTTGTATAATAAATTACATAATCACTGAACAATAGCCTACTAAATAACTTATGTTTTGATTCATTTTGTTACTATGCGTTCGCATTAAGTAAAATATGGTTTTAAGGGCCTAATAATGGAAAATATATTATTTTTATATTAGATATGTAAAATTTAGACTACGTGCACAATATTTCATATTAAAGGTATTGCATATAAACAATTTTAAATTGTGCTCCTTAGTTTCAAATTCTCTGGAATGGCTGACTGGCACTTTTTGATTTCCTTCATCGATATGTTTTTTACCATATAAAACAGTATTATTCTTTGACCTCGTCCTATATATTGGCCAGATTTGTTTTTTAGGGCAGAGGGTTGGTTTTCCACATTGTTTATATTGTCCATATTATCAATATTGTCTCTCAAAAATATAAAAATATTTTTCTTTGGTTATGTTAAGCAATTTTAATGTAACTGGCTTACCTGTTTTTCAATAACAATTTATTAACAACGGTTAATACGTTAAATAAAGCCAAACAAAATCATAGAACATGTAATAAACAGAGCTGCAAGCTCTCAGAAAACTTAAATCGTTTTTTTGATTTAAATCGTTTTAATGACTTAAGTCATTTGGTAATAAGTCATTTTTCTAAAACTGACTTAAGACTTAAAATTTAAGTAATTTTCAAAATGATTTGTGACTTAAATATTTTTTTTAAATAGAAAAAACTTAAGTCATTAATAAAAGGCTTAAATCAGTATATACGATTTAAGTCAGATAGAAACAATTTAAGTCAAAAAAAGATTTAAATCTTTTTCAAAAAGACATTTTAGAAAATATTTAAGTCAGATTTTTCATATATTTTTTTTTTAATTTTTAACAGCGGCATTTTCTTTTGAACTGCCAGGGGTTCACGCGGAAGCAGATCAAAAACTCCTTTAATTTCCTACCTACAATTGCTACCGCTAGTGGATAAAAAAACCGCCGCGGTAAAGTTAGCTTTTCGGAACCGTTTGACGGCCACATTAAAAAATGTCCTGTCTAAAATGAATTTAAAAAAAGTGGGGATTTATAATTTTGTTATTTTGTTTGCCAACATTCGTCGTGTTCATGCGTAGGTAGGTCTAATTTGTGATTTTTAGTGCAAAGTGGAAACAATCGGTCGAGAGCGGTCGTGAGCAGTCGTACATCTTGAGCGGTCGTGAATAGAGAGTTTGGAACTTCCCATCATTACTCCCTTAAGGGAGGAATATTTTTTTTCTAGATGGATGTTTAACCAGCTAAAAAAAGTTAACAAAACAACAAGTTATCAGTTTTTGAAATACAGCGATTTTAAGAAAAATGCTTTAACTTTTATCTATTTTAACAGAGTTTGAATCTATTACCGTTTAGAAGTTACCCATTTATGTATATAAAAAAGTAGCCTCCCTGTATGTCTACTCTACTAAAAAAGGTGGTTTAAGTTTTTATTTTTATTGTCTACTATATATTCAAAAAATGTGTTTTAAGTTTTTATTTTGTTTTGTTCTGAAAATAAATCGTTTTAAATTCTTATTATAGTGGTTTATTATCATCTGTATCTACAATAGATTATCAATATCAGTATTATTAATACCATAAAATTATTATTAACATTTAAAAAATCGTTGTATTGACTTAAGGGTAATTATTTTGATTTAAATCACAATTTTTGATTCAAGTCATTTTATTGACTTAACTCTTAGATCACGATTTAAATAAAAAATATAGACTTAAGTCATAAAAACGACTTACTAAAGGAATTAAGTCATAACATGACTTAAATCACTTTATATTGATTTAAGAATTTGCGAAAATGACTTGACTTGAAAGAAAATTATTTAATTCAAAGACTACTTAAATCATTTGAACTTTATCTTAGAATTGACTTAAGATTTAAATCATTTTGATTTTAGAATTGACTTAAGACTTTAGTTTTAAGTCTTTTTAAAACTGACTTGTTGCAGCTCTGGTAATAAATTAACAAAATATACACTTTGTATTACAACAGCTGATGCTACGTTGCCAATATGAGATAAATCCAACCTTTTGAAAAGTTAAATTCTTTCTATATTTAATTTTTTTTTACAAATTGACGACAGAAGCTAATATAGCAACTCTTGCTGGTTTATTAAATAATATTATTATGTCAGTTTGTAAATTTGTTTTTAGAAGCCATGGCAACGCTGTATAAGAAAATATTCAGTGTAAGAGAACTACGTTATATCAACATCCAACGTATTAAAAAGAGATGGGTTTTAAATTTTCGCCTGTGTAAAAAAAGCCACAATTTTAATCGTCGTGATTGGTCTATAATAAATCCTATTCGACTCAACGCTTTTTTCTTAAATGGAATGGACTTTATAGACCCTTTAAATTAAATTTCGTTCCGCGCATTAACTAAAAGATCATCCAAAGTAAAATGTGTCCCGTCCTTTAACAACTTAAAAATATGCCGCGAAATTTCCTCCCGTAAAAAAAGTTGTCGAAATAAATTCCTTTATTTTTTTCTCCCTACTTTTTGCATTTTATTTTCCCCCTTATTTTTAAGTATTTATTATAAACATTTTTGATCTGCTTAGCTAAAAATAATGTGTGATAATATTTATAAAACCAAAATCGTTACTTTTTCACTCAAAAAATGTCTATAAGGCGATGTACTTTTCCATTGTGGCATTTGGCATAATTTCATCAAAATAAGGTTTTGCTCTCAAAAGGGCTTCTACATTCGAATTCGTTACTATTATTTTTGGCATAATTATCTTTTTATTTATAATTGACAAGTAAATTATCAATAATAAATATTATTGCCAATTTGACAGTGTCAAAGTATTTAATTAAATTCTTTAGCAGAAGTACCATTTTTAAATACTAAAAATACTAAGTCCAGATAAAAAAAATGAACTTTACTAGACATCTAAAAACGGCTGTACCTAATGGAAACAAAACAGAATAGTATGCTTTAGAATAAAAAAATCACGTTGCTATAAATATACATATTGCTATAAAATGCTATTTTAAAATATAGGTATTTATTTTAAAACACTTGTTAAAATTAATGTCTTTTTTAGGTACTGAGCACTAAATACTTTGGTAAAAAATCAAAGAAGCTAAAGTCAATTACTATCCTCCACAAATCATCATCTGGAGGGGTCAGGATACCTCCAGAAGGAGATACTGGTGTTATGGTTCACCCTGGAGTCAAGTCCCGCGTTCCACTAAAACGAATAGTTCGCGATGGAAAAATAAAACGCAAAAGAAAATCTTCTCCAAAGAAAAAGAAACGCGTGTCAGCAGCGGTGGGAGCAGAAGAAACAAAAAATAAAACCGTAGAACCCACGCCAATAGAAGTGCCACAAAACAAAGTCAAAAAAAATTCACAACACAACAAAAAGAAAAGGAAAAAAAAGGAAGTCATAGACTACAGCGTTTTCCAAAAAGACGTTGATGGTAGAAAGGAGTTAGTTAGTTCGGAAGTTGTGCATAACACTTTAGCCGCTGAAGCAGACTCTGTAGGCAAGGTCCAAAATTGGCTCTTAAAGTCCCAATATGCTTTGCCAAAGTCAAAATCGACACCTGTCAATTTAGCGGATAAATTAAAAAGAAGTCCTCACAAGAGGCCTACAATCAGAACCCGAACAAAAAATAAGTCCCACAGTATAGGAAATATACCCTCGGAAAAAGATAAAGTTCGCTTGCAAGTTGTGTATAAACCGCCTTTTAAATTTACTGTCAAATTAAGAAAGCCTGAAAAAACTAGCGTTCTTATAGAAAAACAGGAGCCGGTGAGAAAACCAGATAAACCTCACAGAGGTGGTGTTCTCATTCAAACTGTTGCTCGCGAGAGCGAAGAGCAACCAGTTAAAACTAAAAATGATACAAATAACAAAGTAACTATTGCCAAAATTCCTAAAGCTAACAACCCCCCAGTTGATAGTACTGATAATATTGATTCAAATGTTCATACCGTCCAATCCGATTTAGAAGTTTTATTATCTGACAGTGAATTTTTATTTTTAAATGACTAATGAGTTGTTTTACTCCATTGCAGTCCAAGGCTGTGGAAACATTCCGCATTTTAAGTACTTAAGTTTAATTAAAGAATTAAAAGTAATATATAACAATGTATGTAAAAATATAATAAGTAAGTACTTTTGTCATACCTAATTTATAAATAAAATAACTAGTTAAGTAATATATTACCAGTTAAGTAATATATATTGATGTTATTTTTTATTAACATATTAAAAAAATTACTAAATTTTGTGTTTTATTTATTTTAATTAATTGGAATAATAATTATTTAAAATCATCCCGTAGGGCAGTGAGTCAAGTTATAACGTTAAAAGAATTTATTTAACATTACTGTTTTTTAAACATTACTTAAATATTTGTCTATTTTGACCCGACTATAAAATCAGCTTCAGCCTAATTAATGCATTATTTAAAAAAAATGACTATAAAGTCGCCCTTTTTAATAATAAACCCAGTGTTTAATAAATACTCGGGGTCTTGATGTAACTTAACTAGTCCGTTAAAACTAAAGTGACCAGAGTCTTTTAAAAAATAGGGGATCATTTTGTGAAAATTAACCTAAATTAAAAGAATTACACAATCAACAATAATTAATTAACGTCAAATTTTTTATTTGCATTGTATCATTGTGTCAATTTTGTAATTAAGGTAAATTCATACAAAATGTCCCCCTATTTTTTGACGGAATCTGGTCACTTTAGTTAACACAGTAACTTTTGCTCAATCTGTTAACACGGTTTGGAAGAAAGTTTTAAGTCAGGGTCGTATCTCTGTTAAACCTACACAGAATGAGATAAAAGGCTTTAGATGAAGAAATATTATTTTTATTTTTCTTTTCTTTTATTGTTTATTATAACTAATATGGCTAGGTATGATGCGAAGCAATTGACCATATGCAAGGAATGCGGTCGATGTTGCCAATGGTAAAAAAATAAAATTCCCTAATGGGAACATTCAATTATATTACGTTGGCTACACTGAAATTTTGAATTTCCCGCACAAACTGAGATATTCTAGTAGTTCCCAGAGATAAAGAAGGTAGTTCCAATGTTGTATAATAAATTAAGGTGCGAATTTCAAATGTGGGAATTATTATTATTAAAACATTCGCGCGTTGATCACTGTAACGGCAACACGCACTGAAAGATTTTAAACGATATAAAGAAGTAGAGTTATTATAACTGGTATATATATTCATCGAATTAGTAAATACTAACATATCCTCTGTTTGCTAAACCTATCTTAAACCTGCCTTTTTATAAAATTGCCGGTAAGTCCAAAATTTTTAAGCATGGCAACCGACGCTAATATAAAAAAAGTCACCTTGAAGTACAAACCCAATGACTTTGGCCCGTTCGAAGTATGCATGGAAGCAAAAAACGAACTGAACATAGGAAGATACAATCACCTGGCCTTGGCAAGGGACATATATATATAACCTTAAAATTGAAGTTAAAAAAATTAATGCTAAGGGCAAGAATAGAGTAAAGGCGCATTCATGCTCACTAAAATAAGAAATAAGAATAATAAATAAGATAAAAACTTTATAAAGTAATGGTTGCGTTCATACTCATGAAAATAAGGAATAAGAAATAAGAATAAAGATTAACAAATTTTAACTTTATTCTTGCGTATAAAACTGCGCAAAGGACCAAAATGGGTCTGTGAATTATTTTGATGGGTTTTATGTGCTGGCCATGGAGCCATGGTGTTGGAAATCGCGTTGAGTGTCGCTGTCGATTGTTTACGTTTATAGCCAATATAATCCACTATAATAAAATATAATTGTGTGACAACATTTTTTATTTCTTATGTTATCAGCATGAACGATCAATCGCGATCTTATTTCTTATTCCTTATTTCTTATTTTAAGTGAGCATGAATACGCCTTAAGTATAATGTTTAAAGACTATATATCTGCAAACAACTTTGCTGAAAATGATTTATTAAAACAAAAGTACAATCTTTACATTCCCTACAACAGGGTATCCTGTAAAGGAGTAGCCTTACGTATTGATACAAATATTTCAATTGAGGAAATTGCAAATGCCACATCTTCTCCACATAAAATTTTAGACATTAAAAGACTGAAAAGAAAAGTCCTGGATAAAGATGAATCAGGCAAAAACATCATAAGGTACGTAGATTCTGAAACACTATTGAGTATGTTTGAAGGCACCATACTGCCCAGGTTCATCAGCATCTTTAGCCTTCCAATAAAAATTAACCCCTACATTCCACCTGTGACCCAGTGCTTTAAAAAACTGCAAAGGAAAAAAAAATGTCCAAATTGTGCAACACAACATGAGGAAAATATCAACTGCGAAACAAAATGCTACTCTTGCAAAAATGCTCACAAGTCCACTCACAAAAAATGTCCAGAATTCATAAGACAAAGGGAAATAAAAAAGAAAATGGCAATTGAAAATATATCTTTTTTTGATGCTTCAGAAAAAATAAAAAAACATACCTACCTAATCCAGAATTTAGACCGCACCCATTGGACTTTCCCCCCTTGAGGCAAAGAGAGTCGCAACCTGAAAACCCCAACATCGTGCAAAGATTATCACCACCTCCAAATAAAAAAAGATACAATTCAGACAACTCCTTCCAATCATGCTTAAATAGTCCAAATGGTAGAAACCCAGCAATATCACCTATCATATCTATCCTAACAAACCCATCCCCCCCAAGATCAATGCACCCAAATACCCCCAGCTCAATACAGGCATCCTCCCCGGAGTCTGAAAATTTTGAACAATCTCAATCACAACCTATCAAAAACTTTTACGAATTTGAATCTTTAAATAATCAAAATACTCTCACAAAACCATTAAGTAATAACATTTTAAACTCATCCAACAGTAGCTCTTAAGTCTAAATATGGGCCTAAAAGTACTACAATGGAATATACGCAGTATAAATTCAAATAAACATAACTTAATAAGTCTTGGGGGGGAACTTAATCTGGATGTAGTTATCTTAAATGAGACTTGGCTCAAAGTCAACTATAATTTTAATTTTTTAGGCTATGAAATAATAAGGGTAGATAGAATGGATGGTTATGGTGGAGTTGCTGTCATGATCAAAAATAACATAAAATATCAGGTAATCAACCAAACTAATAACACAAATCACAACTTCCAAAGCATCACAATCAAAATCAACAATTAAATATTATGGGATCTTATTGTCCTCCAAATACAAAGGTAACGAAAATGACCTAAATAATACAATTAACAATTTAACAGGATCCTTACTAATTATGGGAGATTTTAACGCTCATCATAACCTTTGGGGCGGCTCTGGGACAAATTATAACGGCAAAATAATTGCAGAACTAACAGAGGAACATAATTGGTGTGTTTTGAATGATGGAAGTGACACTAGATTTCGGAACCCAAGTACACAGGCTAACCCAGTGGATATCTCTCTCAGTTCGGCTGATATAGCACTTAAATCCAAATGGGAAATCATAACTGATGTTGGATTCAGCGACCACTTTCCAACCCTAGTTAGTATCCTTGATAACATCACACCCATTATATCCAACCCCATGTCAAATAAAAGAAATTTTAAAAAAGTTAACTGGATAAATTTTACCAAAACTTTGGAAATAGAGCTCGCGTCGATACCGGAGGCAGGTAATGATTTTAATGCATTCTATAATAAAATTAACAAAGTATCAGAAAAAACAATCCCTAGGTTCACAAAACCAAAACCAACTAACAAACTTAGAGCTCCTTGGTGGGATCAAACCTGTCAGCTGGCATTAGAAAGTAGGAAAAAATTCTTGGTGAAGTTTAGGGATGACCCTTCTCTCGAAAATTTCATAAAATCCAAAAAACAAATAGCTATAACTAGAAAAATATTAAAAAAGAAAAAAAAGATAGCTTCAAAATTTTCTGTGAATCTTTAAACAGAGAATCCAGTATGACACTCATCTGGAATAAAAAAAAAAAATTCTCCAATAATAACTTAAGACCCTTTAAATCCTTACTACCAGACAAAACTGCAGCCCCTTTAATTCTAGATAAACTAAGCATCACCAACCTAGATCCTTATATAAATCTGATGCCAGCTGATGGAGAGTTTCAGCCAATAACCCCATCAGAAATCAAAATAAATATAAAAAACAAGAAGAACTCAGCAACCGGTATCGACGAGATTTCATATTTAATTATAAAAAACTTCCCTAAAAAGGCATTCGAGATCCTCTGCAATATTTTTAACAGGTGTTAAACTGAGCAGTCCATTCCTGACCAATGGCGGAAGTACCTGATAATTGCACTACTGAAACCTAACAAAGCTCCCAATATTATAAACCATTAGAGACCCATTGTATTATCGTCAGTCTTCTTAAAGTCTCTAGAATTTATCATAAAAAATCGAGTAGAATGGCACATTGAAAACGCAAAACTCCTACACAAACTACAAACAGGGTTTCGTAAAGGTATGGGAGTCAACGAGAACATTTTATTTTTAACTTCTAGTGTGCAACTTGCCTTCAGCAGAAAGGAGTCAGTCCTAGCAATATTTATATACATTAAAGCAGCATATGACCATGTGAATATATCAAAATTATACGCCTACATGACTGAATTAAACATCCCTATTAACTATTCCAACCTAATTTATAACATACTATCACATAGGATCATATATACAAAAGATAACAATGGAGAAACATATGGCCCGGCAGTGGTCGGGAATGGAATTGCTCAGGGATCACCACTAAGCCCACTTTTATTTAATATATACGTACATACAATATTTAAAATAATCCCAGAGGACTCATACCTGCTTTCATACGCAGATGATCTCGAGCTTTTTACCAAGGGAAATAACATACACACTATGGTACATACAATAAACAATTCGTTGAGAAAGTTGGAAAAGTGGCTAAATGATCACCAACTATCCTGCTCGGCTGAGAAAACTGAATATATCTGGTTCAAAAAGAGAAAATCTAGAGTCACTCCACCACCAGTCAAGATGGGCGACAAAATAATATCAAGAAAATCCTCTGTAAAATATTTAGGAATCATTCTTGAAGAAAATCTTAACTGGAAACAACAAGTAAATAAAATAATCGCAAAAGCCAACCAAGGAATAAATGTCCTAAGAGCCGTCTCTAGAGTATGGTGGGGGGCGGACCCTAAGATCCTACATATACTATACACTGGAATTGTTAGATCACATCTAGATCATGGTAGCATAATATTT